TGGATTGAAGCTGAGGCGTATGTTGGCATCAAGGATTCGGCGGTGAAGACCTTTATTTGGAAAAACATTATATGTCGACATGGAGTTCCGTACGAAATAGTCACTGATAATGGACCGCAATTCATTTCACACGAGTTTGATGCCTTTTGTGCGGACTGGGGAATTAAAGTTAGTTATTCTACTCCAAGATATCCGCAAGGAAATGGTCAAGCCGAAGCCGCGAACAAGACGATATTAAGCAATCTCAAGAAACGCTTAAATCATCTAAAGGGAGGATGGTATGAAGAAATCCAACCCGTCCTGTGGGCTTATCGTACAACCCCTAGGCGACCTACAGGAGAAACTCCATTCTCTTTGGTTTATGGCATGGAAGCGGTAGTACCAGCTGAACTCAATGTGCCCGGACTTCGTCGAACAAAAGCACCGTTAAATGAGGAAGAAAATTCAGCAATGCTTAACGATTCACTAGATACCATAAATGAAAGGCGTGATCAAGCTCTAATTCGGACTCAGAATTACCAGCAGGCAGCAGCCCGGTATTACAATTCTAAGGTTAAAAGTAGGCCGTTCTTCGTGGGAGATTATGTATTAAGGCGCGTCTTTGACAACAGAAAAGAAGAAGGTGCCGGTAAACTCGGTATTAATTGGGAAGGACCTTACATTATTACCGAAGTGGTTCGGAACGGTGTTTATAGGTTGAAAGACTTAGAAGACAATCCAGTCAAGCGACCTTGGAATGTGATCAACCTAAAGAAATTTTATGTTTAGAAGCTACATGCATTGTTTATGTACATGAACTACGATTTGGCTTGATCCCGAAATGGGTACGTAGGCAGCTCGAAAACGAGTTCAGCTATTAATAAAATTTTTGTTTTATTTCTTTATTAAAGGAAGAAGGTTCGGCTATGCGAACATACAAGAGATTAGAAATAAAGCGTTTATTCAAAAAAAAAAGGGGCGAAGTGTCCCTCATCGTACACTTTGAACTACGAAATCCTCGTTGACGAGCAGAACACTTCAATCCCTTGACCAGCAAGATCGAGGATTGACATCATGCAGTCCGGAATTCGAGCAAAGTCAGAGATTCCAAGCTCAATCCACTCTCCGGGGTGAGATTCAAGGATGTGAAGATTTCTTGACACCGTAGTAAGCCTGCGTTGCATCCGGTTAATCCTCTTCCGGAGCCTCCTCTTTTCCGACGTAAGCTTCCGGTGTTGAAGTTCAAGTGCCTCTATAAACGCCGTCGCTGTTCCTTGGTCTCTGATTGGGAGATCCCTGATCAAAGCACATGGGGCTCGGATCTGAGATCTCGAGAGGCCGCGAAGTGGGGAAGGCTGCCTGTTGGGCTCACTTGGAACATCTTCATTCATCATTCCAATTCTGGAGAAGTCGGGCATAGATTCTGAACAGCGTAGATTGAACTCCATGCCTGCTAAAATAAAAAAGTGGTGAGGAGTAAAGGGGAGTTGAACCTATAATTTATAGGAACCCCATATCCCTAGCAAGCAGCGGATTCTATCCAAGGAATGGAATGATTCGCGGAGAGATTTATGCCCTCGAACGGATCCTGCATTAAAAGACGCATCTCGAAGAATATTTGGAAAAGAAGGAAAGTAGCAAATATTTCCATAAATAAAAGGGGCCGAAGCCCATTACGAGTTTTTTTTAAAAAAAAAGCAGTAAAGAAATTGGAGAACATTTATGGGAGAGGCTCAGGAACAGGCTCCTTCATCGCCGGTTTAGTCCTCGAAGTGGACGCCTTGTTTTTGGCATCCACTTCGGAACGATCCCGAAGGCGTTTCCGGCAGTCGCTGGCCTCCTCCTCCAAGTCCTCTTCCTCTTCACTATCGCAGACAGGGGCGTTCACGGGACCCGGGACTCCTCTAGCGCGGAGATACATCCGAAGCATCTTCGGGATCTCAGCAACGGAATCAAAGTTCCGCCACTCCCATTGAAAGGGATCGCTCTCCAGGGCCCGTATCTTCCTTTCCACCCGGGCGATGCGAGCCTCGAGCGTCTGCCTTTTGAGGCCCAGCCGTTGCCTCTCTTCACACAAGCGACGGTGCTTGTCGGCAACCTAGCATAAAGATGAATGAATAAGATGAAACAAAGAGTTTTTAATCAAAAAACTTCAAATATTTACCTTGTCAATGAAGTCGCAAGCCTCTTTTTTCTCCTTTGAAGGAAAGTGAAAGACGGCATGAGGGAAGAGAACGCCGGCCGGCTCAAAGCCGTCGCCGGACAAGAAGAGTGGGCTGCCGGGATCAACGGGGGCTACTGTTTCGCTTTCCATTCTTAAAATATTTCTCAAGTGAGACTCTAGAGTCATGTTTAATAAAGCCTAGAGGTAGGTAAGCCTTTATTTATAATGATTTAGGGTTTGTCTTGGAACCATAAATTCATTAATGGTAGCGTTTCCGAGTGGGTTAAACCATTTTTGGAAAATCGAGAAAAGGCAATTATTGCATTAAAAGACGAGCCGTTTTCTTTAAGAAGGGAAAGAGCAACCGTCGCATTAACTGCAAAAGTTTCTAAGGCCCAAGCCTAACAAGTTTACCGAGTTGACTAAACCCGAAGTGGGGAACTCGCGTTAAGCCGAGCTCAGCTCTCGCATTCTAAAGAGAAAGGTCTGATCAGCCTAAAAATCTCGAAAGCATTGCCACAAGGCCACAAAAGGGTTAAAAGCGGACTTTGCAAACCCGCATATAATTTTAACCAAACCCCCTTGGGTCACAACCTAGAAAGGTTTAAAAGCCTCCTCAGGCAAATATCTTGTTCAAAAAGCCTCCTTAGGCAAAAATAAATTCGAGATTAAGTCTTAAAATAAAAAGGGACAATCCCCAATTTAAAGTGGACACAGCCACTATGGAGCAATCTCCACCTCGGGCTCCTGCTCAGCAACCAGAGTTTCATTCACCTCCTTGACTGGTGCTTGATCAGATGAAGCTCCCTGACCACCCTCCGCG